GCGTGGTTTTCGTACGTCGAGAGAGGACTTTACTCCTGAATTGCCTACTCAGTCCAAAGTAGCACTTGTTGGCAAGAGTGATTCTACGTTGGATTTCAATGCTGACATTATTATCGGTGTTAATGCTGGTTCCCAAGTAAACGAAATTCTCTACTTTCTCGAAATTGTAACTGTCAACAGTGACGTGGGTGCCAGTGACGTGGGTTTGTTACCGATGATGCCGATGGNCTTCTCCACGTGATCTTTCCATCGTAGTGGGGGCCTCCCTCTTCCTCTGCTACCACCAGCGGGTTCCGAGCTCAATACTTTCAGAGCTGGAGCGTCGGTGTCCATTCGAACGACATTGCCAAGCCAGCGGTGCCGCTGTACTTTAATTCGCTGCATTATGTCCATCTCATTGTAAAGCTCATACAGCTCATCGTTCCCTCGTCTGCGGTACTCGCCGTAGCCAACGCGTAACTGCCCGTAAGTCTTCCGCAAAATCTTTCTCTCGAATACTCCAAGACCCGCCTCATCGGATGTCGTCATTGTCCATGCTTCTGCGCCATATACCAGTACGGGCATGATGAGTGACTTATAGAGCGTGGTTTTCGTACGTCGAGAGAGGACTTTACTCCTGAATTGCCTACTCAGTCCAAAGTAGCACTCGTTGGCTGACATTATTATCGGTGTTAATGCTGGTTCCCAAGTAAACGAAATTCTCTACTTTCTCGAAATTGTAACTGTCAACAGTGACGTGGGTGCCAGTGACGTGGGTTTGTTACCGATGATGCCGATGGCATCGGCATAAGCCAGCAGTTGCACGCTCTTGTAGTAAATTGTTCCTGAGCGCTTCAGTTCTGCAGCTCTTATTATCTTCTCCAACATCAGATTAAAGAAGTCACATGAAAGGGAGTCGCCCTGTCTGAAACCCCGTTTGGTGGCGAACGGCTCGAAGAGGTCTGACGGAGCTGGTGGTATTGCTCAAAGTCATTTTACATAGCCGTATGAGTTTTGAGGGAATGCCAAATTCAGACATAGCGGCGTATAGGCAACTCCTTTTAGTGCTGCCAAAAGCGGCTTTAAAGTCGACAAATAGGTGGTCAGTGTCGATCCTTTTCTCGCGGGTATTTTCAAGATTTGGCGTATTGTGAATACCTGGTCTATGGTGGATTTGCCAGGTCTAAAGACACACTGATAAGGCGCAATCAGTTCATTGACGGTGGGTTTCAGTCTTTCACACAATACGCTCGATAAGACCTTGTAACCTATGCTTAGAGTGCTGATCCTGCGGTAGTTGGGTCACCTTTCTTGTGGACTGGGCAGAACACACTTAAATTCCAGTCGCCGGGCATGCTTTCATCTGACTATATTCTGCACAAGAGTTGATGAATGCAACTTAGACTAATTGGCAATTAAGAACTTATTAATTGGCAATTAATTTGTGTTTGATTCTCTATGCAACCCTGCTAGGTATGTTTAATTTTGACTTGGAGGTATGTTTATTGAACAAAGAGCAATCAGCTGTTTGTTTCTGTCCCTCTTTTACAGCTGATATTCCAACAGGGATGGAAAATTTAATTATAAAATTGTACCTAATTCATGGAAAGCTTTATCTAAAAGTAGATAGATGTACCTAAAAAGTAAATATGTATTTCTATATAAAGAAGATAGGAGGATAACAATTCCCATCGATACCACATCAACTTCTGTACTCACATTAAACAAACTTTGGCTATGAAAAAAATCTCTTCGAACAGCGCGAGACAAAACTATGTTGTAGGAAAGGTGAACCACTTTCCTCCCAGTTCTCCGATCTGACGTTTAAAAGTAAATATTTTCCGTCTATCTGGCGAAAGCAACTACAGTTGCGTTACTTTGACCTCCTTTTGGTATCATTTGTTTACCCCTTCACAAAGGAGGGAAGGCATTGGACCAGAAAATGCATTAAAAAGTCAATAAAACTGAGAACTGATTTCAAGATAAGTTATTTGGCTACGTTCCAAATGTACCTAAAATTGTGTGTTTGTACCGAATGCACTTTCAAACTAAATAAAGGTACGATTGTATCAACTTTTCCATCACCGTAGGTAATCCAGCAGCTGATTTCGTATCGCTAATTGCGCGGCTGATGTATGTACATATGTGTGAACACCAAACTCTATTCCGCAATTTAAAGCTTAATTGCCTCAGCTAATTGACCTGTTTGGACATAGTCTTATCAACTCCTCGCCACCGTACTTGAATAGCTCAGCTGGCGGGCCGTCAGCTCCAGTAGCTTTGTTGTTTTTCAGCCGCGTTATTGCTATGCGTACCTCGTCATAGTCAGGCGGTGGAACGTCGACTCCGTCATCATCGACTGCGGGCTCGGGTTCTTCTTCTCCACAACTTTCCGTGCTGCTACCATTTTGTAGGGTGGAAAAGTGTTCCCTCCATAATTTAGGTACGCTCTGTACATCAGTTACTAGGTCGACATTATTAGTCTTACAGGAGTACGCCCTGGTCTTGAAATCTTCCGTAAGTCGCCTAACTCTCTGGTAAAATTTTCGGCCAGCATTTCAAGCTCTTCGCGCTCACGTATTTCGACCTCTCTCTTCTTATTGCGGTAAATATGTCTCGCTTGCCTTTTCAGATCCCTATACCCGTCCCATATTGCGCGCGTTGCGCTCAATCGCAGCGTGGCCCTGTAGGCGGCATCGTTCCAGTTGTTCTTTCGGGCTCGCTGAAATCCGACTACTTCTTCGGCGGCGGTACTTAATGAGCGAGAAATGTGGTTCGGTTTGTTGAAGAGTGCTCTCTGAGAGCAGGTGTGGGAGCCGAGTAGCGAAAGCGCTGGGTGTCTGTTGTGATTGCAGCTTTTTGACGTTAAGCTTTCCTTGCATATTTGGGCGCACATTTTTTGCTGCACAGAGGCGGGTGCGTATCTTGGCTGCAACAAGATAGTGGTCCGAGTCGATGTTTGGGCCTCAGAGTGTGCGTACGTCTAAAACACTGGAAGCGTGCCTTCCGTCTATCACAACATGATCGATTTGGTTTCTCGTCTTTCGATCCGGAGAGAGCCACGTAGCTTGGTGGATCTTTTTATGCTTAAACCTTTGTCGGACGTTTCCTCGTGGAGGAGGAATATTTCTGCATCAAAAAGAAAATTTTGAAAAAAATTTCTCTTACGTTATTTTGGCGGTTAGGGCTCTTATATCTTATTATTTTTTAAAAGGTTATACTATGTACATATAATTTTTATATTACTACTTGCATTCTTGTAGGTCATATGGTTTAAACTTTGAGGGGTCACTCCACGGTGAAACGTTTTAGACGTTACGCTTTAGTTACTACATGCAACAAAACAAAAAAAATTACCATAAGCATAAACATATGAATGTAGAGCATACTACAGCGTGGCGTAGAATAACTGTTACCCAGTTTTTTTTGAGAAATAAAAGAGTCCTTTAAAGATTTTGCGAAAAAAGTATTTTATTGTTGATTTTCAACAGATTTTACATTAGTTGTATAAATTAGTTTTTAAATTTTAATCCTAGAATCCTAGAATCGTAGAATAACTGTTACCCAGGTTTTTTTTTTTGAGAAATAAAAGAGTCCTTTAAAGATTTTGCTAAAAAAGTATTTTATTGTTGATTTTCCTCAGATTTTACTTTAGTTGTATTAATTAGTCTTTAAATTTTAATCCTTATTTACATTTGCCAGCAGTGTAAACTTTGAGAGAAAAGTTCATTTGGCACTCAGGTCTTCGTCAGTTAATTTATTCCATATCTTTTGTAACCATAGACTGATTTTCTCCATTTTGAGTCCCTTATACTCCCCTTCTGTCCAACCTAAGACCTCGTACTCAAAAATCGAATAGACTCGGAAGTGGTGACTAGGAAGGTCATTCATTCGACCAACCTTATACAGTTTTTTTTCTTTTTTTTTTACTTTTTCTATACAAAGCCTCAGAAAAAATACACCTGAAAAAGACTGGCGTGCCAAATGAACTTTTCTCTCAAAGTTTACACTGCTGGCAAATGTAAATAAGGATTAAAATTTAAAAACTAATTAATACAACTAAAGTAAAATCTGTGGAAAATTAACAGTAAAATACCCTTTTCGCAAAATCTATAAAGGACCGTTTTATTTCTCAAAAAACCTGGGTAACAGTTATTCGTCAACACGCTGTAAATATAAATTTCATTATTCTAGGCGTAGAGTAGGGATGCAGAAAAAATATCGATGCATCGAAAACATCGATGTTTGCTATATGATGCATCGAATAAAACCGATGTTTTGGACCTTCCGATATATATCGATGTATTTTTTTCGATGCATCGACTTTTGTGTGCTATTTACGCAGGTGGCGNGAAATTAAAAATCGTTTTATTTGTAAATATCTATGAGGTTGAATAGTGTGGCACACAAGAGTTGGCTTACCGAACGTGGTGTGATGGCTGACGTGATCTCCTTGCTGTCTTCTAAGAAGTGACAGAGTGCTAACAAACGAAAAGGGATGTAGCCCACCGCACAGTAACTTTCGTTAAGTTTCCCCTCCAATAAGTTACCGTACAGTGGGGCTTATTGTTAGCGGCTGGAAAGATAGCCGTAACTTATTTATGTGTTTGTGTGCTCTTACATCAAGTGACAAAACGCGGATTAGGGTGGTGCAATATATTTAGGTCGCGGACCTAAACATACCGGCCCCCTTGCGGTAAGCAAGCTATGAAAAAAAAGGAGTCGCGTCTCAACCGTCACACGCACGTGAGGAAAGTCTTAAGGACTAACGATAATATGCAACGCGGATTTTGTACTGCGCGGGTCTGCTTATTCGCCAACGCTTTCGTCGCGACCGGCTCATCTGAGGCTGTGGAGAAAAGGACATTGTTAATTGAAACAGACGTGGTTTGGAATTTCAATGCACTTTTTTTTTTTTTAATTTTAAGGTATGTGTGTGATGAGTGTGTGTGTATGTGTGGTTTTGTCTTCTTAATCTCTACGTTTATGGTTGGCAGGCTCCCGAAACAACCAGACCGTATATGGTCGCCTGGATCAGGAGACCACCCACGGTGGATGGGGGGTCCCGCTCACCATCATCTGCGCATGCAAATGTGAAAAATTGTGAAATTTTCATCAACTGAAGATTCTTGGAAAGTTACCCGCCAGGCGGTTACGCACCACAACCAGGATTTGTTGTACCACCTGGCGGTGGCAGTGGTTATGGCGCCTACGATGATCCTGAAGGACAATCAAAGAATTTTTCTTTCGATGATATAAGCATACGCAAATGGTTCATACGCAAGGTCTACGTGATACTTATGGGTCAACTAGTGGTCACTTTTGGTTTTGTGGCGCTATTCGTTTTCCATCTACCCACCAAATATTTCACCTATAGAAACCCGGCTCTATTTTGGGTTGCATTAGTAGTTTTGCTTGTAACAATGATATGCATGGCCTGTCTTGCTTTAGCGCTATTTGCCACGCAAACCATGTGCGGTGGTGTATTAGTGGTTGCAATAGTAGTATTCCTCGTTTTCGGTATTGCAGCTATATTCATCAAAGGAAAAATAATAACTTTGGTTTATGCCTCCATCGGTGCATTGCTCTTCTCTATTTACCTTATTTACGACACTCAACTAATGATGGGCGGCGACCATAAGTATTCCATCAGTCCAGAAAAATATATTTTCACAGCACTCAACCTATACTTGGATATTATAAACATCTTCATGTACATTTTGACAATGATAGGAGCGTCTAGGGACTAGGAGTAAACATGTATTAAATGTATACAAGTCAAATCGCAAGCAGCAAACAAGTAGCTGCATAATTATTCTTTCCATTTTCCTTAAATTTTCTTCTTAGGAAGTACGTTTATATGCATACACATGATTTTGGACTTATTCTATGTGTGTGTATTTATTTTATAAGTAATAGGAATCTCAATCGATAATTATTTCAAAATTTTACTGGGCTTATCAAGTACAAAGTTTTTGTCATTAAAAATTTGTAATGAACGATTCTCGTTCCATTTTTTTTTTTCAAAACGAGCAGCACAGTTTATTAGTAGCAGTTAATTGCATTTTCTTTAAAAAATCAAATTATAAATATCAATTTAATGATTTATATTTTATGTATACATAAGTATCTGGTAGTATTTTGAAAATTTTTGCTCTATTATTCTTAATTTTTTGTAAGAGCGCTGGCAAACACGAAGAAGAATATTAACCAAAATTAAAAAAAAAAAAATACTTCCTATAGGTACGCATGTTTAACTATGCGCTTTCAAAATTATGTGTATTTAGAAACTCTGAGCTGCAATATTTGCAGTTTGAGATTTGGGATGATGCAGGGTGAAGAGAAGTGGAATAGATGGGCTTTTTTTTGTGTAGTGGAATGAAGAGTAGGTAAGAAGTTTATTGAGAGATTGTGCTGTTTTCGTTGCAGGGCGGAAGTAGGACCAATTTTGCATTTGGTCTTGTGATTTCTCCCTTAGCGGTATCGATGTCGACTACTCTTACTCGGTTGTCGGAACCTGGGTGTAGCTTGACTATTCTCCCCAATCTCCATTCGTTTGGTGGCAGGTTTTCCTCTTTAACGACGACAAGGTCTCCGAGCTTTAAGTTGGTTTGTGGATGTTTCCACTTGATGCGTTTCTGCATTTCGGTGAGGTATTCCATTTTCCATCTCCTACAGAATGTCTGGTGTAGGGCCTTCAGTTTCTGCCATCGATTTACGATTGAGGCAGGACTTTCGTTTACATCGATTTCGGGTGGGGCAAGAAGATGCCCGCCGACTAGGAAATGACCTGGGGTAAGCGGCTCCAGGTCAGACGGTTCGTTTGAAGAGGGGC